GTTGTTTACAAGAAAGTCTACAACACAATGCCACACACACTGATCAACAGTACCTGTAAGAGAATTCATGGCAAACTACATCGGGCTGTGGAAAAACACACTTCAAGACACTTGCTAAAATTACCATCAAATGTGGAGTATAAAGAGATGCTCAAAAAACATTTTGTGATAATAAGTTGGCCTTAGAAGAAAATTCAGGCCATTGATGTTAAAACATGGAAGCTATTCAACATGCATGGTGGACACCACAAGTCCAGCATCCACTGAAAAAACCCTGCATGGGATGTACCACTGACCAATAGATGAAGTGGATGATATGATAAAATCCTACCAAAGGCTTAAGAGAGCCGGGCTGAAGGACAGTACAGAAGCACTGATCATGGCACCACAGGAGCAGGCCTTAAGCACCAGAGCAATAGAGTCCCAAATCTGCCAAACTAAGCAAGATCCCATGTGCAGGGTATTCAAGGAGGCCCCTGTGACAATCCATAATCTTACAGTGGGGTGTAAGATACTGGCAGGAAAGGAATACATATGTAGAAAATCCTAACCAAGTGGCTGAGACCCCCAAGTCAATAGGGAGCCACCTCTCATGGTGGTGAAGAATGACAGAGCTAAGAACCAGTGGGACTTCCAAATACAACCATCCAACCGGACATTGTGATAATTGAAAAACAGAGGAAAGCCGTAGTGATGCAACATCAGGAAACATCAGGAAAAAAGAACATGAGAAACTGGAAAAATACCAAGGCCTCACAGAAGAACTACAGAGGGCGTGGAAGGTGAAGCTAACTGTAGTGCCCGTGGTCATTGGAGCAACTGGGGCAGCAACCCCCACACTGGAACAGTGTCTCCAACAGATAACTGAAGAAATATTAGAGATCTCGCCCATTGCCAGTTCAACTCACTGCAGTTTCAATTAGTGTGCAATTTAATTTCAGTATGAAAACAGTTTTTCTGTAAATGAGACCATTTGTGAACAAACACCATTGTGAAGACCAGTGATAAACACACCAAAAGTTTCAAGCGGAGATACTTTTTACCACTACCCCATGGTAACTCAAGAGGAGCTTCTAAGTTCTACAGCTGAGATGGGAGAATTGTTTGACATCCACCAGTCACAAAAAATCTGTCTTAAATTAAAGAGTGGCTGCATGAAAGACAATGTTTATGGAAAGCCATAAAGGATCTTTATTGTGTTTTGCAACAAGGGGATACAGCAATGTGCTCTGGTTGGATAAGATGAACTCTGACTTTTTGCTGAAAGGGAAAACAAAAAATATGGCAGAAAACACAAGTCTGAGCACATCATCCACAACTGAAACATTATGGATTTGCAACATTAAGCTGTGGGCAAGTAGCCTGATAAACCAGACTAAATGTGAGATTAAATGTGTAATTTAGTCTGGCCCCGATGAATGAGACATCATAAAATGGTTGATGAGAACAACCCGTTGTCTTTCAAACCATGTCTGTCCAATGCTCTGACCAATAAGTGCAACTGACTGTGACGTACTAAGCGCGACAGAAAGCTGGTGGGGAAGTGTAGACAAACAGCCTGTCGATAAAACGGCGAAGCCGTCCTTCTTAAAAATGAATGAGCGTAGAGCCTCTTCCTGCACACGTTTCAACGAAAACCCCAAGTCTAATCCTTCCAAAACTGATTTCAAAGCTGAGTCAAACGAGAACTGTTCAATAGTTGTTGCCATCTTCCTTGTTGTGCTTTCTCCAGTGCCGCACAGCTTTGTTGTCCCACCCTCAAAACCCCGTCTGCTTTGCATCCAAAAATTCAAAATACATCCCTGAGTTGTGATTGGCCAGCCAGTTCTAGGTCCTGCGGCATTGATCGAGGCTAGACCACTCGGAGGCAATAATGATTTTGGCCACTGGTGGGTGGGGCTAGTTTACTAGTCTAGCAGGCAAGCTTTTCATCAGCAGGTGAAAATAAAGCTATCTGGAAATAATTAGAGTAAACTGCATAGCTAGATAGAGACAATTTCAGAAGATAACCTGTTATAAGCTTCAAAACCTGAGACTTGAGCATAGGTTCACATTCCAGTACTATAAAGACCCAGAACTACAACGGAATGGCTTAGATGAAAGCATATCGTTATATTACAATGGCCAAGCAAAATTCAAGCCAAAAACCTATCAATGCAATAAGGTTAGACATTTCTATTCATTATCACTAAGATGAAGCAATGCTGTAAATAAGAGTGAGAAAATTTCCTGCAAACATTTGTTCTCCAAGGCATTAGCAAATGCACAGCACAGGTTTAAGATTATATTAATACAAAAAAGTTTTTTTAATTGTTAATTAACATTGACATTTAATTAACATTTTTTTTATTTAAAAATGTAAATCTCAATCCCTTTCATTCTTAGGATTATGTTCTGCATTGTATTGGTCTTTGACCCCAAATCCCAATAATTCAATAAGGTTTGTGATTTTAATGTGACAAAGGATGATAAAAGTATGTGTGTCAATCTGTTACTGATTCTGCCAGAGCTCAGGACTGGAAGGGATTTGGAAATACAGCCATGTGTCTGACTGAATTTCCAGGGAATACCAACAGCTTTTACAGCTTCATGGAGCTCCTGCCTTTAATATAAAAATAATGAACTACATGGTGATTTAAGCGGATATATTTTCACGAAGCAAGATGGGGTTTGTGGGAAAGAAGTATGCATGCTAAGCTCAAGCTGGTTAGGGGTACTTTTACTAAAGAGCAGATTTAAGAGGAGAATAAATGTGTGACAGTCAGTGGTAAATATTAGAATGTGCAGCCAGGAGCAGAGTAGGGTTAAAGCCTGGCAGATTAGTCAGAGAGAGCACCAAGGGAGAGCAGGAGTACACATTAGACAGTGAAGCCATGTGTGATGCTCATGTCGGTTTTCAAATGAGCTTTGATTAGTCTGAGACTGATTTCCACAGCTCTCATCACATCAAACCCCCATTCCCTTCCTTTAGGACCTGCTTCCCTTGTTTTCTTTTCCATTTTTCTCCCGCTCCTCTGGTCACACTACAATAGAGACAATGAATCTCTGCCAAACTTTGACTGCCAACATTCTGAGTACCACAACAGTGTGGGTGTGCATGAGCATGTGCCATTATTTATTTTAAAAAATCTTAATTTCATCAAACCAAATGCTGTGCCGGCACTCCTGGGCTATATAGAGATAATCTTCAATTGATTTATTAATACATTATTAATAGTCCTGAAGAGTCAGGTCATGCAGATATTCCAGGCTTATCTTCACACAAATACTCACAGTAATGCACATAATACCAGAGGAATAATGGAGTGGAGCCGAATGTATGCAAATCCAATTTTCATAAAGCAGCCAAATTAAGATGGAAAGAACAGTACCTACTCAAATTAGAAATGAAGCTTCCAAATCAGAGCGCTCACCAAGAGTATGATGGAGCCAATACTTACACAAGTGGGTATAAACACATTTTAATTTTCCCATCTCTCTCCTGCATATCCTTAAACTCCTCCTTCATTGTCCATGTGGTGACCCAGTCCTCCTGAAGCCCCTCCTCTTCATCTGAGCTGTCCGTCACCCAGCAGATTGCTGGCATGGAGCTGACTGAGAGCATACAGCAGATGGTGTGCTGCTATCTGTGTGGCGGGCCACAAGCCGGACATTCGGCCGCCCCTCCTCTTCATCCTCCCTGCAATCTCAGCTCCGTCTCTCATAAACATCTTCAAACACATATACACATACACCCTCCAGCTTCATTTGAGCCCAGTCAGGTCACCTGCTGCCAAGCTTACAACAGGGCACACACACATAGAAATTGCAATATCTTATGGTACATGGCACATTCAAGGAGGTCACACATATGGCACCATTACATGCATGGATTCCCTCCTATTCTCCTGCCACGCTCCACCTCACACTGAGATGACAAGAAATTTTATTGACGCTCTCACATCACTTCCCACCTTGCACACATATCCTCGCTCCATCTCATATGAGACACGTTTACTGAAGTACAGCTTTTCTAGCCCGGTCAGCAAAGCAGTCTGCTTACAACCTTCATCAAACAGCTAATATATAAATATTGCATCCTTATTTATAATAATCCCACCAGAGCTGCAAAAGGAGCGTCTTCTAAGCATTATAAGGTAAAAATGAAAAACACAGCTCTCAAAGCAAATAAATACTGATATCCAAATCTATATAGTTTCCTTTTTTAGTAATTTCCCAGGGATTCAGTTTATTATGCAAGCTTTGATAGTAAGCTAAAATAGATAACTAGATAAGAGAAGCTGTTTTCAAATAATAATTTCATAAATTACCCTATTTGAAAAAATAACCACCCCCATTCATTAATTACTTGTTAATAGCCACATTTTTCTTGGTTAATTTCAATAGCCTTGAATACTGTAAAACCAATTAAATGCATCCTACCCCATAAAGTAGGAAGAAAGATCTAAAATAATACATCACATCTGAATCAAAAGAAATCTAAAAACAAATTAGACGTTTATGATGTCTATCAGTATTAAATGGGTCACAAAGTCATTTAAGGCTTAGAGGTAGAAAACACAAGTGAGAGCCCTTATCATCAAATGGAGAAAACATGTAACAGAGATGAACATACATAGGAAGGGTTTGCTTCCCAAAAGGATGATAAACATTGACGGCCCACCTAAGAGGTCACAAAAAACCTGGAAGCTTTTAAAGCCAGCCAGGCTGACTGGGTTTAGTAACTACTAGAAAGAGGCTATGCAAAAATAACATCCATTGGAGAGCTTCAAGGCCCCAAACACCAAAATATCCAAATGCCACTATTTTAAAAATAAAAATAAAAAGTAAGTGTATTTGTTTTCCATATAGTTTATTTTTGTGTGATATTAAACTGATTTTAAACATTTAGGAGAAACAAAAGTAAATAAACAAACTGAAGAAATATGTAAAGAAACTAACACTTTTTTCACAGCGCTGTGACCATAGCAGAAAAACTATATAATGGAGATAAATCTTACCCTGGGAGGACAGAGCGATGTTGCTAAAAGCCACGGAACAGCTGAAGACGATCCAGATCGCTAGAGCCATGTTTGAAGCTTAGCAGGGAGCGGGGCAAATGGACGCCACTAAAGCGTAAAGGTGGTCAGCAGGCACGGGTGAGTAGGGTGGCACTTTTCTCCGCTCACACCCTCCCTGAGGGTGACCCTGCAGGCAGAAAGGTTTAAAAACAGCGGGTTATAAATCACAAACAATGAAAAGGATTTTAAAACAATAAACAGAAGTCATTCTGCATTTAGTCTGTTTATTCTGCACTATCCCTCTCTATAACACTGTCTTACACTGCTTCTATTGGTGATATGTAAAAACTCAGAACTGAGTGAAGCTAAGAGGTTTAGAAGTGTTATGGTGCAGTTGACATTGTACCGAGAGAGAAGAAAAGAGTTGGCTCATCTAGTGATGGTCAAGTGTCTTGATCAGGTGGCAGAGCTGAAGCCAATTTGAGCAAGAGGTGATGGAAACAGCTGTTGACACCACTGGCTCATCATCCTGAAGTGCTTGGATAGTTTATTAAATCAGACATGCTACATATGTTTCAAGGCCTATTAACAGTTCTGTATTCAAGCAAAAAAGATGTGTCCTCTGTGTCTGTTTACCGGCATGGACACATATACAATTTGAGCTAGTGGAACATAATAACTTAGTCAGCATTGCTGAAGGGTTCACACATCTCATTTGCCTAATGATATAAATCACTTTCTGGAACTTGAGTTCTGATTCTTTGACAGTAGAGCCTGCAGGGGCTGAAAGACAGAAAACCGGAAAGACGGTGTTGTTATAGCTAATACTCCTCCTGCTGAGTTTGCTGATGAAACAGACAGATTGGTCTGGATGCGTGTGTTTGGGGGAGAATTTGAGCATGAAAGCAAAGTACGTTTGCCTCTTTATTTAATTATACAAGGTAATAGGAGTCTTCACACACATTCTCACTAGCTAACTTCAATTCAGCACAATATTACATCGCTTTTTTTTTTTTTGTTTACACTTTCACTGCATTCATTTACCCCCAAGTGCAACTCTACTAATGAGGCATGTGGTTGTTTCTAAGCGTTGGATCAAATTGACAATTCCAAAGAACCTTTATTAGAAATAATTAAGCATGTAGTTTACAATTGTTCAAATGGGAGCTACACATAAAGTATAACACAATTTGTTCGCTAAATGATGACCTTCCAATTTGGATTTATGGTAATTTTCATGTTGCTCTTTTAAAAAATACATAAAGAGAAGGTTGTGGAAATAGACCTGTTCTCAGTGGAAATTAAGTGCAGGATAAAAACTATAGTAATGTTAATAAAATGTAAAAATCATTTTTGGTTTTTCAATCTTTATTAATTTAGTTACTTTTTAACAGTAAAACAGTTATTTAATTAAGAAGTCATATAAATATATAATTTTTAGGTTAAAAATATGTTTTATGATTTTACATTTTATTTCCTACTGGAATTAATTGATTTGGAAATATTTGGAAAAGTTTCATTTCCATGTTTTTTTTTCTCTCCAGCTTATCGTGGTTGCATAAGAACAAAATTATGTAAATTTTGTTCTTAAAATGTTATTAAAATGGATGCATATTTTATTATATATTTTAAGGATACTTTTTCTTTCGCAATGGTTAACTATTTTTTTAGAGAAAAAAAATCACTTTAACTGTAGCAATTAGAAACACAATTTAATTCATATTTTAATATATTTCTAAATAGTTTTTTTTTTTTCCTAGGTACAGGGAATTTTTATTAGCACAGCCAATTTTTTTGGCATGCATACTCTTTTTCTACATGCTAAAAAGTACTTGCAGTGTTTAATACGAACTTCCAGAATGGAAAGGAGGGTTATTTAAGTGATTTAGATATAGCAGAGTGTTGGGGCCAAATACTGTTGATCTACCGTAATGATGATGTGCAATCATCTCCCAGTTTAACAGAGATTGCTTTTTTCAAGAAGAGGAAACAAACAGAGATTTACTTCTGTTGATGAAAAATCCCCTGTTGACGTCAGAAATTAGGGTTAATTTCCACCACTTGTAATCAGGGCATTGTTCATTTGTTCACAACAGCAGAGAGTCTGATATGTCGGTAAATCGAACTTCACTTCTTTTACTCAGCTGTTTTTACAACATGACAAGCCAAATAAATGTGTGCATTACACCAGAGTGGATCCGACTCTGTCTATCCATGTACCGCTCTATTCGACCATCCCTCATGAACAAGAAACAAGGATGCTTGAACGTCTACACTTAAGGCAGATACTGATTCCAAACCTGGAGCAAGTAGCACACCTTTTTACAGGTTTAGAGTCATTTCATCTAACCTAAAGAAGCTGATTCTCATGGGGATGAAAATGGAAGCTAAAGCAGAAATAACAGGCATACAATATGCCTTCTTTAAACACATACAGTAGCACACATAACCTAAAAACAGATGGGCCAGAGCAGCAGAATACGAGGCCGGTTACGTCTCCTGTTAGCAAAGAAGACGAATCCGAGGCTGCAGTTTGCACAGGCTCACCAAATGTTGGACTAAACAGATTAAAAAATAGTTACCAGGTCCAACAAATCTGAAATAATCCCCTGACATGACAGAGTTCGGCAAGAACAAAACTACAGAAATTATCCTTTCAACCTTGTGTCAAAGGTTTAGGGTGGGCTGTTATTATGTGGGGCCTATTTTCACAGTTTGGAACCAACTTGTGTACACAGAAACATAACATTAAAAGGTATTAATATAACAATCATTTTATAATAGCCCAGATTTTAACCCATATATAAATGTAACCTGGAAAGCTACAAGAACCTTATGTGCTGATTGGGGAAGCAATACCTATAACCAGCCAACCACAGTTTAGTTTCAGCAAATCAAGGTAACAAATGAAATCACAGCAGATGCCACGATAAACCACATTGACTTTTAGTTTTATGCTCTTGCTGTTCAAAGATGTGACAGCAGAAGCTCTGAGTATGTCTTATGCCATGTTTATTTTAGTTTGGCTAGAGGCTCACCAGCTCTTTCTTTCATCACAGCTTTATTTGTCCCACCTTGGATGATAATACTCCAATGTGACAGGGCGGCCCTTTTTGGGTCCGACACAACTGATTGAAGCTAGAGCCGTACAAAATGTATTCTAATGTGTTTGTGAATTAACAAATACGGCAAGACTTCAGCTTTCAGGCAGTGTCATAGAAACATATTGCTTGGAGTTACTACAGTTCTTGCAGCTTCCATGTATCTATTTGCAGCAATGGCTGAATATCATTACACAGGAAGATGGAAATTCTTGGTTTACTGAATGGCTCTTTCCAACTCTACATCATCATTCCTGAATTGGCTTTCATTTGAACTCTGCAGCCCCTCCTTTTCATTACCTTTTCTGATATTTAACCTCCTCCCTAGTGGCAATGCCAGAACATTCAGCAACCTGCTTGGGTGTTACTGCACGGATTAATATGTTGAACGTTGTAGAGTACAAGCGAGACAGAGGGAGAGAGCTGCAGACACTAAACAGGAGGAGACTGAAAGCGGGCAGAACAAAGCAGACTGCAGCAGCTGTTCTTTACATCAGCATTTATTTCTAGGAAATGTTAAACTCAGACACACGCGCTGCCTCTGCACTAATGAAGATTCTTCCCCAATACGAGTTTATTTGTAAGCATTCCATTTGAATAATAGCAGAAAGACAACATGTTCAATGAGAAAGCAGTGGATACAGATATAAGTGGAGAAGCTTTAAACAAACAGCAATAGATGTGCAATGTAACACTGCAGGGACATCGATTCTCTGTCAGATTTTTACTCTAACTTTACAGCTTCTTTCCATTTGATATCACTTTAATAAGAGTGTTGAGAAGGTTTTCTCTACAACATGCACAAGTAAAATATCCCTTCTCTCATGTGCTTTCATTTCTCCTCAGTATGTCCTCTTTAAATAACAGCTCTCCTGTGGTCTCTGAAGATGAATATGGCCAAGAAAAAAAAAAAGAGCAGAGAGTGACTGGATGGCTGAGAATGAAGAGAAGGGAACCAGATAGAAATGCACGGTGGAAAAATTTAATGCATTTTGAGATTTGAAAAAACCAAGGTGACACAAACCAATATTCGGATGCACTGAGGTTGAAATAGATCATGATTGAAATAATAATAAAAAAGAATGTACGAATACAGTGGTAAACAAAGAAGCATAGCATGACTAAAAGTTAAGAACAAGGACCTGCACTGAATGGAAGGTATTTGGTGTAAGATCAATAAATGCGAGAAAATGAGAGGAATTTTACAAAACAAAAATGAGAGAAACACACAAGACTAAAAAGGAAAAAAAAGCAAAGAAGGAAGGATTTACTCTATGTTTTGCTGCGTATGAGTCAGACTGCCTTCGGGTGGCTGAGTGTATTTGGAGGTAAGGAGTCTTTAGGGAGCGTGAGATAGGTGTCTTCACCCTCCCAGCTCTCCCCGCCGGAGGATGTGAGATGCCCAAGGCCACAAGCTGACCTTTTACACTGATCAAATCCACTATTATTATCATCAACGTTTCTCTTCTAATGGAGCAGAACGTCATGTCCCTGTGAGACGAGAGTCTGCAAAATGGGAGAATGGAAGAGCAATTTGAAAGCATCGGTGGAAGGGTGAGCAGGCCGAGGTGAAGAGGATCTGGGAGGTAGGCAAATGACAGTCAGCTGTAACAATACAAAGAAAACCTGTGGTTGTCTAAATGGAATGGCGACAGAGTCACACTTGGCCACACCTCTGTGTCATACTGTTTCAGACGCTATGCTTTATTTTGTTAGCCATTCATTTACAGGCTGCCATGATCCAAAGCAAATAACCTCATTATCCTTTTCTATTGGATCATTACGATAATCACTGTGATCATTAGGATCTGTTTGCTTTGGCAGACATGGTCATCAAGAACAGAGTGTCAAAAGCTTTTTTTTCAGCCATGGAGGGAGATGAAAAGATTATGCATGTGTTTTCCTGGGTCCCTGGGCATATTTTATATATTTACTTTTGCATAATTTTAGCTGTGCTTATCCCATTTTCATACATCTTTCCAGGCTACATTTTTTTTTTACCCGAATTAATTATCTTTCTTCAGGTTTTACCTATGTTTTTCAAACAAAGTTGAAAAAGCTGTTCAATCAAATGTTATTCTATTGA